AGGACAAAAGGTCGGCTACCACATTGTCACGGCCTGGGGTAAATTGCAGACTGTAATTATACTGCCGAAGACGATCGTACCAGCGATGCAGTCTCACTGGTTTGTGGCCCGTTCCCGATGTCGCGAGCAATGTCACCAGGGCATGATGGTCCGTCCTCAGGGTGAAATGGCGACCATATAGGTACAGGTGCCATCTTTCACATGCCCAGACACATGCTAGCGCTTCTCGCTCCCCCACTGAATACCGTTGCTCCGTTGGGTTAAGGGCACGAGAGGCAAAGGCTATGGGCTTTTCGACACCATTCTGTACTTGAGAAAGCACAGCACCGATTGCTGTGGCAGATGCGTCGCAGGTGACCAGAGTGTCACAAGAGGTGCTAAAATGCCCTAGAACTGGTGGCGATGTAAGCTGAGCCTTAAGGGTAAGCACAACCTCCGTACATTCTTGAGTCCATACCCAGGGTTCATCTTTCCGCAATAAGTGCCGCAGAGGGGCTGTAGTGGCTGAATACTGGGGAAGAAGCTTCAAATAATAGCCTGTCATTCCCAGAAAGGAAGCTACTTGTGCTGGCAAAGTTGGTTCGGGGATGGACTGAATAAGCCTCCACATTGGAATGAAGTGGATGAATCCCCTCTGCCGACAATTTGAATCCCACAAAGTCAATGGTTGGCACAGCAAAGAGACATTTGTCACCATTGAGGGTCAAGTGCTGCTTGGCTAGTGCATCAAACGCCTTACTTAGGTGCTCATCATGGATCTGTCTAGTTGCCCCATGCACAACCACATCATCCAGATAAATAACCACACCTGGTATGCCAGCTAACACAGAAGTCATTATTTTCTGGAAGCAGGAAGGGGCGGAGCTAAGGCCAAACGGCATCCTGGTATAGCGAAAGACCCCCGTGTGCGTCACAAAGGCTGTTGGGTTCCTGCTGCTTGGATGTAAGGGCACCTGCAGATACCCTTCTCTAAGGTCCAACTTGGAGAACACTGTAGAACCATAGAATTGGGCTGTGAGTTCCTCAGCAGTCGGCAGTGGATACTTGTCAGGGATTACTGCCTTGTTTACATGCCGCAAATCCACACAGATACGTAGGGCACCTGATTTTTTTGTAGCCACCACCAGATTTGAAACCCAGGGCGAAGCATCCACAGGCTCAATGATACCTGCGTCTTGTAGCCGCTGCAGTTCAGCCGTCACCCCATCACGAAGGGCCAGGGGAATGCAGCGTAGTGGTTGAATAACAGGGGTGACAGTGGGATTGAGGAGAGGTTGATGGTTGAATGTGGTGAGGCAGCCCAGCCCTTCGAACAGTGCTGGCCACTGTTGCTGCCAGGTTGTAGTCACAGCCAGAATAGCAGCACCCCCTGAGTCCACCACCGTGAACCCCAAAGCAGCGAACAGATCTAGCCCCATCAAATTTGCTCCCTTTTTTGCCACATGAAATACAAACGAAGGGAGTGTTTTTGTCCCATAACAAACAGTCAATTCAAGTGAGCCCAGTATTTCTATTTTGGAGTTGCCATACCCACACAGGGCAGTAGAGGGTGCACCCAAGGGAAGAGAGTTAAAAAACTCACTGTACGTGTCGGCATTCAGAAGAGATACACTAGCTCCTGTGTCTAAGAGCAAAGGGACGCACACATCATTTAGAGTTAAAGTACATGATTTGAATGTCGCCAGTCCTGATGTCACATTATGAATAATGGTGGGTGTAGAGTGGGCTGTGTGTGTCTCTGATCTGGTGGGGGCTGATGGACAGACATTGGCAAAATTATTTTTTTCCCCCGCAGTTGTGGCATGTTTGGCCCCAGGCTGGGCAGTTATGAGCTCTGGTGTTATGAGAGTGAGATCCACAGTTACCACAGCACTGCTGTTTTTGTGGTCGCTGTTGCCGTGTGAGATACATTACAGAATCAGGAGTATCAGCAGCTGCTTCTGTGCCCCTGCCTGGTGACTGGTCCATGGGTGGGGGTGCATCCATGTGTGCTAGTTGGCTGGGTGTGGGCTTAGTTTGGTTTGCCAATGTGGCTGCACATTCTGCTGAACTCTCAACTTGATATGCAATGGCTATTGCTCTAGACCAGTGTTTCCCAACCTTTCTTTAGTTGCCATTCCTGGTTTCAAAGTCACCCTTTGGAAATTTTAACAGATTTGTGGCACCCTACAAAATTAATTTTGTCACAATATACTGTCATACAGATATGATTTGATATATTACAAAAATTTGTCCATCAATGGTGGCAATCAGTAGGCTAATTTCTAATGAAAATACCTATTTTAATGTAGGCTTTTATACATATGTAAACATTATTTACCCCGGTTGGGAAACACTGCTCTAGACAGTGATAGATCTCAGATTCCAATAATAGAACTTCCCAAATTTTCTCATTATTTGTGTATGATGGGATATTGTCCTCTTTTGGAAGGCCAACCAAAGTAGTTTCGCTTTCACAACGAAACACAGCGCCTTCACATGGCGGCAGCAACAATACTACAGCGAGAATAAAAGTTACGCCTTCTTTCTTTGCGTGAACATTTGGGCGGCGTTATGCAAATCTTCCCACATAGTGAGGTAGATATGTGGGGGCGTGTTAGAACGAGCCGTTTTAGGTAGGAGTGGTGGACTCTTAACTTTTATAAAGAATATCTCTTTGGATTTGAGACTTTAGTCTTTGCAACTTTACAGATCTTCTTTATGCACCAAGAGCTTGTAACACTCCAAAGAGAAAGGAAAACGTGAAATCGCATCATATGACCCCTTTAAGTATAGAAATCTTAATATTAAAATAACCTTGTATTTCCTGGGTTCCCATGAACAGCAAACTTCAGATATGAGATGAAGGGAGAGGTTTTCAGTAGCAACTGCAGTAAGCACACTGAATTAACTGAACAGAAAAACAAACTCTATTGTGGTCTAAATTCAGTTTAAATAAATAATATTATTCTACTTCAACTGGCCATTATCATTTAAATAAAGTGGTACATCCTTCAGCAAACACCTACCCAAGTTAAATCGAGCAGTTTGACAAAAATGTAGAAAAATAACCAGACACCTTTGCAGAAACATCTCTGCCTTATATGATCAGTACAAACAGCTCAGCAGCATAAGACGCAAAACAGTTTTCAAAAGAAATGAATTTAATGTACAAAATTCAAACAATCGAGAAAAAATATTTTCTAAATGAAAAAAAGAAAATGCTGTACAAAGCGCATAAATGTACAGTGGCTTGAGAGATTCATCTCCTCGGCCCGCCGCGTCCACGTCCTCTTCCTCTGCCACGACCCCGTCCTCCTCTTCCTCGAGCACGGCCAGCCACTGTAAGAAAGAGACGCAACCAAATTAGCATTTTCTGTGATCAGTTTGTCATGTTCAGTTCAGACGGTTTTCCAACACTCACCAGCCTCTCGCTTCTTTGCCTTGACTTTGGGCTCGATGTCGACCAGCAGCGTGTCCAGAGGAAGACTGTCGGGCAGGATGAAGTAGCGGATGTTGTTGCCACGGATACTGAGAGACTCCAGCTGAGTGGGCTCTCTGTTTTTGAGGGTCATCTTCACAGCTTTGACGTGAGTGTTCATACTGACATCCACACCTGTTCACAGGATTCAAAGAGAAAACATTCAGCCATCTGTCAATTCAAGAATCGCTCTTTAAAGGATGTTCACTTCCAGAATTTAAATTTCCTCATTTATTCACCCCCATGTCATCCAAGATGTTCATGTCTTTGTCTTCAGTCGCAAAGAAATTAACATTTTTGAGGAAAACATTACAGGATTTTTCTCCATATAATGGACTTCATTGGGGACCAACGGGTTATAAATTGTATTTTCAGTGCAGCTTCAAAGGGCTCTACACTATCTTAGCTGAGGAATAAGGGTCTTATCTAGCGAAACAATCTGTCATTTTCAAAATAAAAAATGTATATACTAGGGATGGGAAGATTCCTCGATTCGCTCGGTGCATCGCCATTAAAAGTTAACTATGCGATGCACTGGTTTAAAAAGTGTGCATTGGAATCGCGATGCATCGTTTCTAACATGGTTGCATCGGTAAAAACCGATTTATTTATATATAATTACTAGTTGATGCGCTATACTTTTATTGTTTAGATAGTGTGATTTCTCCTCTCTAAATTGTTTCTCAAGCGCGTTCTCTCATGCACCACTTCTACTGCGTGAATATGAAGCATCACAACACCACGGAGACCCGAGGAAAAGCGGGGATTAAAGTCCAAAACCTGACCTGAAATAACCTATCAAATCAATCTGGGCTAAAGCGGTTCCATAAACGACAAATCAAGTTCACACAATCTCGCTAGTTTATGCACGTTAAGCAGCTCTTAATGTCGATCATGGATCAAATCGATCCACCTCGGCAAACAGCGAATAGCTGTTTAATGCATTTGAGACGTTGTGTTTTCCTCAGTGCATAACTGACATGTCACAGTTATATTCTTCATCTGTAAATGTTAGAAAGTCACGCAAACATATCCATTTTGCTGTCAGGAGTGGGCGAGGCACGCGAGAGCAATTCCTCGATTCGCTCGGTGCATCGCCATTAAAAGTTAACGACGCGATGCACTGGTTTAAAAAGTGTGCATTGGAATCGCGATGCATCGTTTCTAACATGGTTGCATCGTTAAAAAACGATTTATATATAATTACTAGTGGATGCGCTATACTTTTATTGTTTAGAAAGTGTGATTTCTCCTCTCTAAACTGTTTCTCAAGCGCAATATTTTATTTTGCTAAAATATTTGTTGTTGGACATTAAATGTGTCTTTTATAGAATTTGTATTTTTATGATAGCAGTAACTGAGTTAATTAATGAGTTAATGAGCGTTTCTTATACCAGTAAAAATAGTAATTTTCTTTATTTTCATTTTTAATTCAGTGATTTTTAACTTTTAATTTAGTTATTTAATGCTTTAAAGAGCAATTTTAGATTGTAATGTTCTACTATAACTATAAAAGGTACAGCTGTCATAAAACCAGAGAGAAAGGCTGCATGGCTAGAAACTGTAAAAACAAAAAATCGATCCACCTCGGCAAACAGCGAATAGCTGTTCAATGCATTTGAGACGTTGTGTTTTCCTCAGTGCATAACTGACATGTCACAGTTATATTCTTCATCTGTAAATGTTAGAAAGTCACGCAATCATATCCATTTTGCTCTCAGGAGTGGGCAAGGCCGACGCGAGTGAATGAGCGCTGCTGCGCGCATGCGCACTAAACAGACTGAGCGCAATAATTCTGAGTAAAATGCTATAACTATAAAAGGTACAGCTGTCATAAAACCAGAGAGGAAGGCTGCATGGCTAGAAACTGTAAAAACAAAGTCAAATAATAGTATGTAAGAGTCAGTGGTAATATCATTACGTTCCTATTGGTCAGTGTTAGAGGAACTCAGCTTAATCTGACAGTTAACCTGCTTTAGTCTCCCAGCACAAGTTGCCAGGGTGACTAGCTTGATAGGCCTGTTAAATTTGCATTAATTAACCAAATAATTTGACAATTAGTCAGACTAACTGAAATAAGCCTTATGAAACAGGCCTTGAGGCATTAGAAGTGATCATATTTTTTCCATTGCATAGAATTGCATCGGTTAGAGGAACTCAGCTTAATCTGACAGTTAACCTGCTTTAGTCTCCCAGCACAAGTTGCCAGGGTGACTAGCTTGATAGGCCTGTTAAATTTGCATTAATTAACCAAATAATTTGACAATTAGTCAGACTAACTGAAATAAGCCTTATGAAACAGGCCTTGAGGCATTAGAAGTGATCATATTTTTTCCATTGCATAGATTCATATGTATCTTTAATGTATCGAATCATTGGCTATGCATCGAGATGCGTATCGTATCAGCCCGAGTCATGAGATGCACATCCGTAGTATATACACGTCTTGCACTAGCTCGATTTCACACATTACATAACCAAGTTGGATAGGTCACGCACGGTTAGCTCTTCGTCTGTGTACTCCGATTCAAAAAGTTAGGGTACGGCGAAAAACTCCATCTCATTTTCTCCTCCAACTTCAAAATCGCCCGACATCGTTGTTTTACCTTTTTTTGTAAAGGGCGTTTGGCTTTCTTTGCACGGTCTCTTTGTAAACGCTGGGTCGGTTCTTCCGCCTACGTCACGCGTGACCTTTCCAACGTGACTACGTAATGGGTGAAGTTGAGCTAGTGCTAGACGAGCATTTATGGTTGAAGTATATACATTTTTAGTTTAAGAAAATGACAGATCGTTTTACTAGATAAGACTCATTCCTCGTGTAGAGCCCTTTGAAGCTGCACTGAAACTGCAATTCGGACCTTCAACCCGTTGGTCCCCATTGAAGTCCATCATATGGAGAAAAATCCTGGAATGTTTTCCTCAAAAACCTTCATTTCTTTGCGACTGAAGAAAGACAGACATGAACATCTTGGATGACACGGGGGTGAGAAATTATCAGGAACTTTTTATTCTGGAAGTGAACTAATCCTTTAACGTCATTAGAAGTGATCATATTTTTTCAATTGCATAGATTCATATGTATCTTTAATGTATCGAATCATTGGCTATGCATCGAGATGCGTATCGTATCAGCCCGAGTCATGAGATGCACATCCGTAGTATATACACGTCTTGCACTAGCTCGATTTCACACATTACATAACCAAGTTGGATAGGTCACGCACGGTTAGCTCTTCGTCTGTGTACTCCGATTCAAAAAGTTAGGGTACGGCGAAAAACTCCATCTCATTTTCTCCTCCAACTTCAAAATCGCCCGACATCGTTGTTTTACCTTTTTTTGTAAAGGGCGTTTGGCTTTCTTTGCACGGTCTCTTTGTAAACGCTGGGTCGGTTCTTCCGCCTACGTCACGCGTGACCTTTCCAACGTGACTACGTAATGGGTGAAGTTGAGCTAGTGCTAGACGAGCATTTATGGTTGAAGTATATACATTTTTAGTTTAAGAAAATGACAGATCGTTTTACTAGATAAGACTCATTCCTCGTGTAGAGCCCTTTGAAGCTGCACTGAAACTGCAATTCGGACCTTCAACCCGTTGGTCCCCATTGAAGTCCATCATATGGAGAAAAATCCTGGAATGTTTTCCTCAAAAACCTTCATTTCTTTGCGACTGAAGAAAGACAGACATGAACATCTTGGATGACACGGGGGTGAGAAATTATCAGGAACTTTTTATTCTGGAAGTGAACTAATCCTTTAACGTAAACTTGACGCAGATACTTTGACACTGGTGTAAAAGCTCCTATTTTGTTGCATTATTGTGAATCATAATTACCTGTAATGGTGCCATGGACCTGTGTGCCATTCTTCAGCTCAATGGTGACAGTTTCATGGCTCAATTTCATCAAAAACCTGTGGGATCCCAATCAAAAACATTGACTTTTACATTAACAACCTTACAGCAGCACAAATATCGCATTTTGCCAAATCCATTACATAATGACACCGTCTTCAGTTTTATTTATTTAGGAATTCGACAGCTAGAAATATGAAATTGTACTTTAAACCTCTTAATTTAGTCTTAATTGTATAATATTTCCCTAGTAACATAAATACACAGATTACATTTGTAGTAACAAGCAAACAGAAAGTTACTAGCATTAAAAGTGGCTGTTTCTATTGCTGCATTTGTTAGATTGAAGCCCCGGCATCTATTAACTTAAATGCACAATTTCATCAATCTAAGACTAAACCCACGAATTACACGTTTAAAACAAGAAAAACCCAAACAATCTCATCCTGGTTCATTCATTCCCGCCTGCTGCAGCTAGCAGCTAGCGGCTAACAAACAGCTACACACAATCTAACTCCATCCGTCCGATTACATCACGTGTCGCTGCGGAGAATCGGTGCATATTAATAATATAATACATATAGAGGGTTATTACCTGACGAGTTTCATGCTGGCGGTGGATTTTGAGAGTAAATCCTCCACCGAAATCAGAAAATATTGTAGCGCAAAACGACAGAAAAGCGTCGGACGCTTCTTCTTCTGGTGTTAATGGCGGTTGGCAAACCAACTTAAATGGTGCATTCCCGCCACCTACTGGATAGGAGTGTGGAGCGCGTAATGATTGGAAGTTTGAGAACTACAGCCAAGATTGCACAGACACAGCTAAAGGCAGTGTTGGGGAAAGTTACTTTTAAAAGTAATGCATTACAATATTGCGGTACTCCATTAAAAAGTAACTAATGACGTTACTTTTTATGGAAAGTAATGCGTTCCGTTACTTTTGCGTTACTTTTAAAATATGGACAGGGCTTGCAAATATAAAAACCTTTTTAACACCAAAAGTGAAATGAATAAGCCTCAGGCTGAAGGGAGAGTACATTTACGTCTGTACAGTAGAATGCAGAAGAAGACATTTCAACACCTATTATCAAATAAACTATTTGAAAAAGTAACTCAGATATTCTCTTGTAAATTAAAAAGTAATGCGTTACTTTACTAGTTACTTGGAAAAAAGTAATCTGATTACGTAACTTACCCCCTTACCCCCAACACTGGCTAAGGCTTTATGATTTTCTTCTAAAATATCTAAGAGATACAGATTTGATTAGAAGAATTTAGTTTTTTTTTTGTAGTACATTATATATTCGTTCATCGAGGCCTCACACTCCATCCCAGTAGGTGGCGGAAATGCACCTTAAGCTGGTTTGCCAACCGCCATTAAACACAAAAGAAGAAGAAGAAGAAGAACTATAGCCAAAAAAAATAATAATAATAATTGGGGAATCACTTCCTGTGCGAAACGGAAGCAGAATCCGTGACGATGCATGGACGGCATGCCACTACACGCCAAAATCACCGGAATATTTCACACAGTGGAAGATACATTTAAAATATTTAATTAATGTAATATATACATTAATTAAATAGTAAAACAACTAACTTAAATAGTAAATACACTTTTAGGTAAATAAAAGTAAAAAGTTTAGGATCGTATTATTATATATTTTTGATAATGATAATACCTTTAAACGTCTTTATATCCATGCCTAGACTATTGACCTCCAAAGACGTGTAGATGTAAATATGTGTTTTTAAATTTTTTTTGGGTCGATCCGTATCTTTTTTTATTGTTGAAATGATGATTCTTTACAATAAATTTTAACAATTAAGTCCACATTCACAAGAAAGAAGAGCAATCTTAATCTGTAAAACAGCATTAAAGAGAAGAGAGATTAAATAAATAATTACAATAATAATAATAATAAATGATATTATATAAAAATTATATTACAAATGTGTTTTTAAAGGTTTACAAAACTTGCAACTATTTTTATTTGGCCAAAACAGACATTTTTTTTTTTTTGGTTCGATCAGTATCTTTTTTTTTTATTATTGTTGAAATGATGATTCATTACAATACATTTTAACAATTAAGTCCACATACACAAGAAAGAAGAGCAATCTTAATCTGTAAAACAGCATTTAAGAGAAGAGAGAGAGAGAGAGAGATAAATACAATAAAGTAATAATAATAATAATAAAAACACACACATATAAACAACTAAACAAGTTCAAATTATCTTCCTCCTTCCGTAGGACAAAATCAAGGACTACAGTGAGGGAACTATACAATAAAAAAATCCTCCGTGAAATCTAACAGTATGCCATTCTTTTAGTTATTAATTTGCATTAGAGGCTCTTTCAGGGATTACATTTCTAATAAAAATAAATTACATTTTGGTATGCCTTACAAGCATTACATTACAAGAATACATTGATAGTAATTAATATGGTTAAAGGGGTCATATGATGCTTTTTTAAAGATAATTATTTTGTGTATTTGGTGTAACAGAATATGTTGACATGCTTTAATGTTCAAAAAACACATTATTTTTCAAATACTGTACATTATTGTAGGTCCTCTATGCCCCGCCTCTCTCAAACGCTTCGTTTTCTACAGAAAACTTGAAATCGCATCATATGACCCCTTTAAATTCAGATATATACAGATGCATCAGAGTGGGGAAAAGGGTCAGTGAAGAACTGTCAGTATATACAGGGGAACTGTTGGTTAGCTTTACGGTGGATAGAAGATACAAGGCCACTAAGGGCAATCATTTGTTCAGATTCAAGCTCATCGTTAAGCAGTTTACAGTGTAATTCAACCAGCAGACCAGATATTTTAATAGAGATTAGAAAAACACTACATAGAATTATGGGGCTTATGGTGGGTTTTTTATGGATCCCAACACACAACAGAATTAAAGGAAATGAAATAGCTGATAAAATAGCAAAGGAAGTTACTAAAAGTATTCATATTGATTTTACAGTTAATATCAGCAAGGCAGAAATCAAGAGCATCATTAATAAGAGATTGGAGGAAAGGTGGCAAAGTCAATGGGGAAAAAATCAAGAAAAGGGCAATGGTTTCATAGGATTCAAAGGAAAGTGGGAGAAATGAGGTGTACAGTGAGGAATAAGTGAAGAAATAATAACATCGAGGCTTAGGTTTGGACACACTGGACAAGATAGGTAAACATAACACAGGGAAATGTGATTTCTGGGGGCAGGAAGAGACAGTAGAACATGTTATGATATATTGTCAGAAATATGAAACAGAAAGAAGACATTGATTCAAAAATTGGGAGAGATGAAAATATGATTTGATTTAATATTTTGCGGAAAGAGTCAAAAGACAAGTGTGATAATCTATTGTTTCAATATAGAGAAACTAATTTAAGTGGAAGAATATAGTTTTTTTAATGTTTTTTTTTTTTAAAGGGGTCATATGATGCGATTTCAATTGTTACTTTCTCTTTGGAGTGTTACAAGCTCTTGGTGCATCTGCGGCATTGGTGAGTATGGTGACAGTACACCACAGTATGGTGAGGGGCGTAACATTTCCGTCACACGCTTGAGGTATTCGGCCAATCACAACGCACTGGATAGCTGGCCAATCACAGCACACCTCGCTTTTTCAGACCGAGGAGCTTTGTAAAACTCGACGCGTTTCAGAAAGGCGGGGCATAGAGGAGAAACAATAATGTACAGTATGTCGAAAATAATGTGTTTTTTTAACCTTAAACCGCATAAACACATTTCATTACACCAAATACACAAAATAATGTTCTTTTTAGCAACATCATATGACCCCTTTAAACAACAATGAATATGTATATGACATCCTGGTCCACACTCCATACCAGGTGGTGGCGGTAATGCACCAATAAGTTGTTTGCCAACCGCGAATAAACCCAAGAAGAAAAAGAAGAAGGAAGTGAAACCCGAAAGTAAGCGCTCATTGAAGCATCGCGTCGAAAGCGAATCGAGCGATAAATGAAAGAGATTAAACACGCTCGCTTTATCATGAGCAGCCATCGGTGACTTTATACGCGATATCTGAGGATGCTGGAGTCTAACGCGGATGAGATATCAGAGTAGCAGTCTGGAGAGGTTATGAACAATGCTGATGTGTGGACTCGGAGTGTCTGTGCATCAGGACTGATCGACAGCTGATCTCAGCTTTGTTTTCTGCATCGAGCGTCCGAACAGCATGTTGATGAGCGGCTGTTGCTCAGGTGTGTCCTCTGAAGCGGCGTGCTGGGATTGACGCAGTCAGGATGTTTCCTAAGACCTCGCTGACGGCTCTGATCGTGGGGCTCTTTCTCCTCTACGTGCTGCACACATGCTGGGTCATGTACGGGATCGTGTACACCAAACCCTGCGAAAAACCCAAAAGTGACAGCTGCATCTCACCCTACCTGGCCGGAAAACCTCGACTGCAGGTGAGTAAATCATGTGCTGTCACATGTGAACATTTACTTTCAGACAATGCATGTAAACGCGCAGGTCTTTATAGAGCGACATACTGGTGCATACTAAGATGTGGACTATTAATTAATAAAAAAAATTACATTGCATTTTGGTACATTAGCACAATGGAAGGGGCCCCAATTCTACAATTTAAAAGGCATCTATATAGTTTCTTGTGAAAAGGCCAGATTTATACTTTGAAACATTTTAGTTTCTAATTTAGTTAATTAATTGTTTTTTTCTAACTCATTATAGCACTGTACTAAATATTTATTAACTAATTACATTTCCTATTCATTATTCATACTGTTATTTATCAATTTATTTATTTTTATTGAAATTAATCATTTTATATTTATTTTAGTCTAATTTTATTTATCCATTTATTAATACATGTTAATAAAATTGTATTTGTTGAACTATTTATTTTAATCAAATTTGTATTTATATTTATCTATTTATGTATGTTAATGTATTTTATTTATATTTTATATATATATTTTATCCTACTGTTTTATTTATTCATCTATTTATTTTTAATCTAATTCATATTTATATATTTTAATCTAATATTATTTTACATTTTTGTATTCTATATATTTGTGTATTTAAATCTAATTTCTATTTATTTTTATCTATTTATTTTAATATCAAGTTTATCTATTTATTTATATTTATATACATTTTATTTATATATCAAATTTGTATTTATTCATCTTTTTATTTATTTATTTAAATATTTTTAATTTTTTTGTTTATTTTTATCTATTTATTTATTTATTTATTTTAATCTCATTTTATATGTATTTTAATCTCATTTATTTTAATTCTATTTTTAATTTAATTTTATTCCGTTTTTTATATTATTTTATTTTTACACTGCTTTTCTCTAAACATTTCCACATTTCACCTGCATTAGCAGACATTTATTCAATTTATTTATTTGAATGGTAAATAATCAACATTATACAATACAAAATACATTCCAGTAAAAATAAGAATATATAATAATAAATGCAACAACAGAGATAATTTGGACGTGTGTTTAACAGCTCAGCGTCTACACTGCATTAAGACCCAATGCTGATGGTGGACACAGTCTGATCCACAGAGAGGAAGAGTTTGATGTCAACACCAGGTTTGAGAGGTAAAAGAGAAGTCATTTAATAGACAGAACTAACATTATATCACTGTTACTCTGTATTTTCGTCATGTAGGGCTTCATTTGTGTCCATTATAAGCAACTATCACATACCAGATTTACTCTGTCACATCTTTTCAAGGTTAGTTAATGTGTCTTTGCCGAAGAAGACCCGCAAAAATGGGACGCTGTACGCCATGGTGTTCCTGCATCAGGCAGGAGTCTCGCCATGGCAGGATCCGCATCAGGTGCATTTAGTCACGCTACTGACCACATACATGCTGCCCAAACCTCCAGAGATCAGCCTGATCACGGGGCAGGACGAGCCGCAGGTGAGCTGACGCCCACGTCCTGCATCTGAACAAGTTTTGTTTCCGTGCTCCTGTTTACATTACACAAACCAATCTGATTTGTACTCAGAAACCGGATCAGCAGAAGCAGAGTAGCGACTCTGAGCTGGACCGGCCCGTTTCTCACTGGCGTTCCCGTCTGACAGTGAACGTGGTGTCCGAGAACTTCCAGTTTGATCGAGAGGCCCTTCCTGGAGACGTGCACCGCTACATGAGAGTGTGAGTCCATCAGGTTCATTCATATTACACCTGACCTCTGCAATGACCTTTAGTCCATTAAAGGAGACATATTATGCCCCTTTTTACAATATGTAATATAAGTCTCTGGTGTCTCCAGAATGTGTCTGTGATGTTTCAGCTCAAAATACTTCACAGATCATTTATTATATCATTTTGAAAATGCCTATTTTGAGTGGAAGCAGAAACACGCTGTTTTTCGGGCCTGTCTCTTTAAATGCAAATGAGCTGCTGCTCCCCGCCCCCTTTTCCAGAATAGAGCTGCCATTACAGTTCGGACCTGCTAAAAACATCTGTTTTGGTTCTGATTATCATGTTTATCGCGCTGAAATCATGCGTTTTAAACCAGATGAGTTCAAATGTCTGATATACGTTTTTCTGAGTGCACACATCCGAAGCACACGGACAGAAAGCGGCTGTCACAGCATGCGAGTACTAAACTAAGTTCTCATTCACACACAAGTTTACGTTAAAAACACACGAGTTACAAAAAACAGTAGGTTATGTCTGTGAAGGTAAACAGCTGGGAAATAAATTGCATGTTTATTTTAGATCTGTGTGGCAGCAGCAATATACATTAAATAAATCAATAAATCCACTGTTCTCGTCTCCTCTGAGGCTGGGACTCTAAACAGTGTTCTGTGCTCGTCTGTGCAGCCAAACACAGAACAGTTAGCATGCTTTGCTCAAACTTTCACCATGGCATTAGAGCTGCTACATCGTTGTCGCTTGCGAAATCAAATGACGGCACCGTGAGTGTAAACTTACAGATTAAGGGGCGGTAATATTATAA